AGAGACGGGGTTTCACCATGTTGACCAGGATGGTCTCGATCTCTTGACCTCGTGATCCACCCGCCTCGGCCTCCCAAAGTGCTGGGATTACAGGCTTGAGCCACCGCGCCCGGCCTCAGGCTAACTTTTGTATTTTTTTTAGTAGAGACGGAGTTTCTCCATGTTGGTCAGGCTGGTCTCAAACTCCTGACCTCAGGTGATCCACCTGCCTTGGCCTCCCAAAGTGCTGGGATTATAGGCGTGAGCCACCACGCCCTGCCAAGCCTGCATTGTTAAATGTTTCAACCCATTAGGCACTGATCTGTATTGCACCTGGGCATGCTCCTTTCACCTACACCATGCCACCAGCAGGATTTCTGGCTTAATCCTTTATGCCAGTAGGGAAAGGAAGGCTTGGAGAAGCACTGCAATTTTATAGTGAGAGAATTTTATGGTGAGGGAAGAAAACAAAATTTCTAATGAGGTCCTATCCATTTTTCCCTCAGTGAGGTCCCTCATGAGATCTGTGAAAAATGTCATGAGATGAGACTGTGTACGTAAGACCCTAGCAGCCTGCAGTCAAAGCAAATGAAATATCCTAGTACTATCTTAAACCCAGAATAGGCCCTGGAGTACAAAACTTGGGTCAGGCCATTGCCCTGACTTTTACTAGCTGTGTAATATTGGGCAAGGCAATTCATAATACTAACCAGCATTTACTTACCTTCTCCCATGTACCAGGGTCTGACCTAGCCAATTGCTCATATACTTTCTCTTCCTCTCAAGGAGGTAATCCATTTTATACATGAGGAAACGGGGGTTCAGAAAACACAAATTCCAAAAGTCAAATATCCAGCAAGCAGGAAAGCCAGGATGAAGAAATATTAAAAATAATAGTAAAGGAAATATTAAATATTTTGTTTTATAATGCAACTTAAGCCCCATTCACCCCCATTGCATATTTTTAAAATGTCACTAAAGAATTTCAAGACCATTGAAGTACACCATAAACAGTCTAAACCTGTTTCAAATCTAAGAGTTTGTAAAGCATAAGCAAATAGGAATTGATTACAGTGTGCTTTATAATATAAAAAAAAAAGACTGTATTATTCATTTGCAGTACATAACTTGTCAAAACCATGAAAAACTGGGCTTTCAAAAGAGATAGTCACACTTACAGTGTTCAGCTCGAGAGGTTGTTGTAATCATCCAAGAAGGAAAAGTAAAAGCCCTTTGAAAGTAACAAGGTGACAAAACGTCAGATATTACAAACATGTTAAAGCAAACTGCAGTTATAACCTAATAAAAAGTATATATAAGATGCATTTCCTAACCTTCATTACAAGTCTGCAACTTGAAAAAAGAGTTATGAGTGAACATAGAACCTCATATCACAAAAATGAAAGAAATGGAGGTTAAATGAAAATGAAAGATGAAGACAAACAAAATAAAATAGCTGACTTTCTTGAAAGCGAACAGAGGGATTTCCAGAAAGGAAACGGAGGGTGAGGGGATGGAGTAGAAGAGAAAGAGAGAGAAAGAAGATAGGGAGGGGGAGGCAAGTGCTATGAAAAATAAGCCCAAATTGCTGGGGTCAGACTGTTTTTTCAAGAAATAAAGAAACTGGCCATGACCCCCTTAGCACTGAGGCTGGGTACAGTTTTTGTGACTGTTTAGAGAAATCTAGCGCTTTCCTCACCATTAATCTTTTCTAAAGAAAGACTTTGTTCTGCACCTGTATAAACAATTCAGATTTTAGAAACCTATTCGCCTGCCCCTAATGTGTGAGACTATATATTTATACTGATAGCTTCAAGTCATCAATAGTCCTTGCAGAAAGCCAGCCTGGCTCTCCCCATTCCATCTCTTTGCCCCTCCTTGTCGCTCTCCTCTCCTTCACCTAGCAAGGTGACTCTAGAGTCAAGTTCAAGTTCAAATGCTCCAGGAAATATTTCCACACTCTGTCAAATATTGCCTGCATTTCTCCACCCCAGAGAGAGCTGAGAGCAAATGATCTTTCTACTTAACTTGTCCCAGAACAAGCCCACCCCTGCCCCCAACCAAAAGACAACTTTTACCTGTGCTGGGAGAAAACCTTTGCAAATTCGGGTGAGCGGGAGGGGTTATGTGAAACATCCCCCCACTAAGGGTGGCATGGCCTGGGAGACGAAGGTAGAATGATGCCTGAGTGATGAAGTCAGCCTCTGCCAGCCACCTGTTGCAGCACTTCAGGCATTGAGCAGGGCGCATTTGTTCTGCTGTAGGAACTGGCGGGAGCCAGGCTGGCCCAGCTATCTCTGCCAGCTCTGTCCTGGACTGACTGCACATCCGTCCCCTTGCACCTTGCTCAGCTTGGGAGCCTGTGGGCTTTCAGGAAAAGAATAAATGAACTCCTAAGCCGGTGTGAAGGCTCAGTTGCATCACCATAAAATTGGATAACCGTATGCCAAACTCATACGGGTTTTATTACTCAGTGAGCAGCTCACCAGCTGCGAGCACAGTGAGGGTCGCACAGCAGACACTCAGTCTCTGGCCACTGGAGCCCGTGTCCACAGAAGTACTCATCCCCTGACCAGGAACTGCAATGACCTTCGAGTTAGGAAATAATGAGACTGCAATTTTGTTGTGTTTTCTTGGGTGCAAGAGCTGGATGTTTTAGACTTGGTTGCAATGAGACATGATCATTCAGGGTGCTGCTTTGTCGTTTTTACTTTGAATGGACGATTGTGCTAACTTAGCATTCTGCTTCCAGGAGCTTGCCTTTCAAAACACAATCTATTAAATACAATAGCAATGGATTCCCTACATTATAATGCAAAGCGTTAGGGCTGGATTCTCCATCACATTCATCACAAAGTCACGCATGGAACTCTCGAGAGCGTGGAAAATACTAGCTACAACATCTAGAGATGTGTGCTCCAGAAGCATGAGACTAGACCAGAATTTCGACCGGCCAGGATTTCGAAACGTGGATTTTGACTCTTTTTTCTACTTAGCCTAGTGAGCGTGGTGCGTCTTTTACCTAACGTCTATCTACGCGGCCCAGCTTCAAGTTCTGCAAGGTGGAGATAATATCATTAAGTTACAGATGTTATTTGAAAAATCCAACGAACCATTGTGACCATTTTTGTGAATCATGAAAGTATATTATAGGAAAAGGAGGAGGAGGAAAATGAGAGGTAACTTGTGCATTGTTGGTTGTTGTTTGCTTTTTCTGTTATCCAGTAAGGCTTGGGTGGACAGTCATACATCATGAGTGATGAACTTGAAAGCTGAGTTCTACTGGAAAGACTGGCAGGTAAACAGAGGTTGGGAAACTGTCGTCTCTAAGTATCTCGTAATCTTCCCCACTGCTAAGATTAGCTGGGGGTGGAAACAGGGTCGGTAGGAAGCAGCTCTGCCTCGTAACTCCCTCAAAGCTCACTTATCCCGCACAGACGTGCTGAAGGTCCGTCGGGCTTCAATGCCCAAATCTCCACTCCGCAGAGACGTCCTCTTCCCCCGCCTCCACCAACCGCTCCTCTGCACGCAGAAAAACGGTCCCCACCCCTTCCACGCCTCTGCCCCACCTCTTGCCCCTCTTTCCAACCCCCTCTTCTTTGCCCGGAGTGGTTTGTTCCAAGGAGTACAGATAAATAGTCTTGTCAAAAGGCGCAGCTCACCGCGGTGCGAGCGGAATCTGGACTTGGGCGCCAACTCCTGGTCCAGGCTCCCCGGGGTCAGCGGCTGGGCGCACTAGCTCTCACCGCCCACCTCGCTTCCGCACCCGGCGCTTCCCGGCCTGGGTCTTTAGTCTTCCTCTGAGCGCTCCCTGGCCTCCGCCTTCGCTAGGGAGCCGAAGGCGGAGACAGCGACACTGGCCAGGGGGAGGAAAGCGGACGCGTGTGGGCGAGGGGGACAACGCGATGTCCACTGGCTCGGTGAGTGATTCGGAGGACATGGAGCTTCGGGGGCTGCAGCGAGAGTACTCGGTCCCCGCCTCCAAGAGGCCGCCCCTCCGCGGCGTAGAGCGCAGCTACGCCTCGCCCAGTGACAACTCATCCGCTGAGGAGGAGGACCCCGACGGCGAGGAGGAGCGCTCCGCTCTGGGCGCAGGCGGCGGCGCGGGAGGCTGCAAGAGGAAGCGGCCCCGTGTGGCTGGGGGCGGCGGCGCAGGTGGAGGCGCGGGCGGTGGTGGCAAGAAGCCACTCCCGGCCAAGGGCTCAGCCGCCGAGTGCAAGCAGTCGCAACGGAACGCGGCCAACGCCCGCGAGCGCGCCCGGATGCGCGTGCTGAGCAAAGCCTTCTCCAGGCTCAAGACCAGCCTGCCCTGGGTGCCCCCTGACACCAAGCTCTCCAAGTTGGACACGCTCCGGCTGGCTTCCAGTTACATCGCTCACCTGCGGCAGCTGTTGCAGGAGGATCGCTATGAGAACGGCTACGTGCATCCAGTGAACCTGGTAGGGGCGCGGCGCGCTAGGACCTGGGCGAGGAGATACCCAGGCCGCCCTGGGCGCCGGGCGTAGTCAGCCCGCAGGGAAAAATTCGAAAGAGGTGGAGGTTCTGGGACAGGAAACGAGAAGGCCAGTTTATTTTCTCCCAAATCAAGGGAGTGGCCAGCCATTTCCCTGGAGAAGAATCAACCATCCGTGTGTGTTCACATCGTTCTGAACACTGTACCCCAGTGACAGCCATTGGCTAATATCCTACTTCCAGGGTAAATCTTGGTTCCAACTCAGGCTACCGCTGGGTTGCAGACTGATGGCAAATCTCCCTTGCCCAGCTTTATCCAGCTAAGGGTCTGGCAGGTTTGAATCCGCAAGCCCTTTCTTAAGGAGGGAAGGCCGAGCTCTATAAAAGAGCCTTTGCAATTTTAGAAAAATTGCTTCTGCAATATAGTAAAGTTTCCCCACATGGGATTTGTCTGGAAAGTCCCTCTCCGATCTGCCAGCTCTCCCGACTTGGGAAAAATCCTGTCCAAGCCCAGTTCCTACTTGGAGATCGGAGTGGATGACAGAGTGTGTGTGTGGTGTGTGTGTGTGTGTGTGTAAGGGAAGGGAACTAAATGATAGAAATGATAGACTCTCAAAGTCGTATGAGTTTCACCAAATTATCTGCTGGCAAAGTCCAGGAAGAAGCGTAAATGGATACGGCACGTTTCAGATTATCAGCATCCAGTAAAATGAAAATCCTAGTTCAGAGAGAAGACAGAAGAGCGGTTTCGGTTTGAGACAATCGTTTCTCTAACATCTGACGTTCTTTTTGATTTTACAGACATGGCCATTCGTGGTCTCGGGACGACCGGACTCTGACACCAAAGAAGTTTCTGCAGCCAACAGACTATGTGGAACCACCGCTTAAATCGGACTGGAACTCACTTGATGGGATTATTCGTTAAATGCGAGCATTCGGGGGCCAAGGAGAGAAGAGAGAGCGCGTGAGATGGGAAGAAGCTGTTTCCGTTGGATTCTCCTTGGCCCTTCCCCTGTCCCTGGAACTGTGAACCGGTGGCTGTCACGGCACAGCCCCATGGCTACAGCTGCCACGGATCTGGGCGACCACCCTTTGCCTCTCCAGAAAGAGCCTCCTTTCGTGTCGAGAGCGCGGGACGCAGGTTCACCCTCGGGCCCTGGCTCTGTAGACTAACCCTCGGCTGCCGCCCCCGCCCACGCCTGACAGCCCAGGGGTCCGTTCTCAGCGGAGCCAGATTCATCGCACACGTGAGGGACAGTTCCACACAGCCCGGGCAGTGCGCGGTGACACAATGGTTAAGGAACGGTTAGAACGTGCTCTACATCTGCTTTAAAGACAGAAGTCTAGACGTGAGATCCGCGTCGGCCGGGACAAGGTTTTAAGTGGCAAAGAAGGGCGAGTGACCTCTCTGGGCCAGGTTTCCATCCCAGCATCGTGCCCTCCTAACGGGCTGGAGGAGGCCCGCTGCGCGTGGGGTGAGGTGAAGACACACTTCCCAGACCACTGCAGGCGGGTTTTGCCCGGCGCGCTTCGGGCCCTCGGGCCTCCCTGCCGGGTGGCCTCTTCATTCCGGTCGCCTTCCCAAGCTCCCGGCTTTTTCTAATGAGGCTCAGGCGACTGTCTACCCTCTTTACTTCTAAACTGGAGCCTCCCCAAGCTCCGACGCTCCAACCTGGCTGGGCCTCTTTCAGGGCTCCCTCTCGGCCCGTTCCTGCTCCTACAGCACCCCCGCTCCGACTCCAGACTCTCCTCGCAGCCCCCCCCCCCCCCCCCCCCCCCCCCCCCGCGCCCCCCCCCCCCCCCCGACTCCAAGCTCGGGCGCCTCACCCCCAACAGCGTCTCCAGCCGCGCAGGTTCTTCCCCCACCGAGGAGTGCTCAGGGTGGGCGGCGGGACCCTAGCAAGTGATCCTGCGATAGGGAATGCGCCCCTGCCCCAAGGCTGCACTACCACAGGAAATAACATATGTAAATAAATTTATTTTTTTATGAATAATAAAATGCGCTGTGAAAACTGTGTGCCTTTTGGAGGCGTCAGGATGTGGTCTTTGTTATCCTTTACTGAGAGGGTTTGGCTGTAGAAGTTAACTTTTAAGGTGCTGGTCTACTCTGGACAGAGCGGTGGGTCCTGGCGGGTGGAATGGTGGCGATCACTTTTGAATCACTGCATTTCCAAACGTCATTCTTTATTAATCTCTATGATTCTGCTGCTTCTCTGCGCCGGGCTTCCTGGAAGGCCATAGCTGGAGGCCTAATAAAAGTCTTAAGAGTCTTGAGGCCCCGGCTGTCCTGACAGGCATACAGTCTTCAGGCTAACACAGGTGTACGTCTCTCTTAAACACACACGCACACACACACCGGCACACATACACGCGCACATACACAAAACACACACAGCAGCTACTTCAGCCTAAAGCACACTCCAAACCTTACAATTACCAGTAGTTACAAAAAAATCCCTAAGGCCCACCCACAGGTCTCCAGTGTAACTGGCAGAATAAAACCCTAATCTAAGAAGCCAATTTGTATTTCAACTGTGCTTTTCTTTTTTCAAATGTTTATATAGCGTTTTAAACGTACACCGATTTTCCGTGTTATTTTCTTCCATTTGCACTGCAATTTTTGTAGGAGGTAATAACTTGGAAACTCCATAATACAATTTTTAAAACGGCTGGTTCTTTTAAAAGCAACATTCTCTTTGTAGAACATTTAGAAACATGTGAAGGATAAAACTACATTAACAACTGCCCACCTTGGGGTTCTGTCCATTTTGTGTAATTGAAAGCCAGTTTTCTTGACCCTGAGAGTGAAAATACAGCTGGATTTTAGTTCAGAGGTAAGAGGGAGAGTGGGGAGAATGACTTCCTATTTTGAGCTAAATCAACCAAAATGGTAAAGAACTGCCTTCTGACAAGATTGTGGGGCCTTTGTTCATAACCTGGGAGGGAACCTGCCCTGGGGATCCAGTCTTACATCAGCCAGTGTCTGTGGTATCAGGGGCTTTCTGACAAAAGGGAACCTGAAGTAACCTGTGGCAGGAACCCCTACCGTGGTTAAAAGCACATCAGCGGTGAGCCCTGTGTAGTGGGTAGACAGCTTCTTGAGGGTTTCTGCTGGAGGCCAGATCTTAGTCAAGGTCATCTCCAAAACGTCCAGCAAATAAGGTTCTTTTTAAGGAAAGGAGGCAGCCCAGTGTATGTTGGTTAAAGAGAACCTGAGTCTACAGAACATGGCTTGAAATTCACACTCTGCCATGGGATTAGTGAGCATGTGCAAGTTACAGTACGAACACCTCTGAGCCTCAGTTTCTGATTCTATAGAATGGTGGTCACCACAGTGCGTCCTGGAATATTTCCTTAGGAATAAATATGATAATGTATTTAAACAAATCTTTTAATATGCAGTGAGCAGTGCACTAAATGCTATTCAGAAACGGAAATCCAGAGGCAGAGGGAACCACTTCGGCAAAGGGGCAACAGGGAACACGAAACAGGTTGGGCATTCTGGAATTCAGTCTTTAAGATTAGGTCTTGTTTTGAGATGCTTGGATTACAACTGTGAAAGAGAAATGTCTCACAACAGTGGACAAACAGAAATACAGAAAACCAGAAGGAATAGCTATATTTGTAGTGAATACAAATAAGAACAAGCATTTGAATAAACAAGGAAGTATTTGGGCAAATTTCCATAAGTGAAAGAATAATATTTAAAATATGTGTTTCTATAATTATATTCCTTCAGGCCACTTCGGGAGTAAACTCACAGATTTTCTGTCTTTAATCCCCAATTAAGGTGGTGCTTTCCACTGACTCACATGCACAGGGAGTGTTGCACTGCAACCCAGAAATGCATTTTAATGGCCACTTTATAGTTCTACAATTTAAAAGAAAAAAAATAACTTTCTCAAGAATGTTCTGCTCCACAGTTTCTATAGAAAGTCCAATGCCAGGAATTATGTTATTTAAGAAAAGAAGAAGAAAAAGAAAGAGGCCACTTTCTAGTAAGTTCCAATGAGTTCATGTAAATTTTACAAGCTTCTGTGCATGTGTTGCTGTTGGGAGAGACCTTTAACATCTTAAACCAGTCTTTCTTCATCTGCTATGAGTAGAGTGTGTTCTAAGTGGTAGACAGGCATCCCAAAGACTCTCATCATTTTCCTTTAGATATTTGAGTTTGGGAAATGGGAGTTGGGGCTAGAGAAGTGGGCAGGAAGTGGGGTAGGAAGGGGGCTTACCAGAAAAAAAAGTGAAGTATGTGCTTAGGGTTACTTCAATTTGATTATACTGCTGTGAGAGAAAAGATGAGAGGAAAGAAGTCTAAGAAATACGATGTACAATGTGCTAAACAACAAACAAAATGAGTAAATTGAAAAATACTCTTCAGGGGGCTTTTTGAGGGACCAAAGCATTATTATTAGTGATGCTGACTCAACCGAAGAGAACAAAAATCCCCTTCCACAGACTCTTCCTAAGATGAATATCTGAAAAGAAAGGCTTTCAGCACTGTAATTTTGAAACATTCAAGCGTTTCTCTTGGTTGTGGAGCTGAATTGATTTTGTGCATATTCTTTTGCACTGGGCTTCAAGTTACAGTTTCACTTTAGTCTGGCAGCTCTGTCAACAGATAGCAACAATGACCCTTAAAATTTACAAAAGACTTTACAGTTTTTTTTCCTGATAAAATGCCTAGAAGTGAAAAAAAATAAGGAAACATCTCTTTTCTATTAAAAAAAAAAAACACAACTAAATGAAATACATTCAAATGTAATAGGTATTTGATAGATAATTTGGTTGATTACTTCTGAAAATATAAAAATTAAAACAGTAACTCAGAGTCACATTTAGAAAGGAGAAACAAGGTAAATTGATAATTCACTTCTCACTACCAAGCCTCTACCTTGTGGGAAAATCCACTAGGAGGTACCAGATTGGGTCCCTTGTAACTGACCACCTGGTCCTATCTCCTTCCGGTGTGAACTCCACATACCCACTTGTGGGCGCCCAGGGTGTTTGCATCAGTGCACTCGCCACTCTCCTTCATCCCCTTCTCTGTTGTCTTCACATTTTTTATTATTTTTCTTCCTTCTCCCACAACAGTGAAAGTTGATTGAGAGAAATCCTTCAAACCCTGGGCTCTAAGAAGCTCCAGGAAGTAAACACAGTCAGAAATCTACACGTAGTCAGGTAAACTCAGGTAGCATTTAGCAGCCTTCTGCCTTGTTGGTTCTGCTACCACCAAGGTAGTTCTGGGTCAGTCTTGAGATTCTTCACTGCTTGTGGTAAAGGAGATCATAGAGCAATTAAAAGCTGGAGCTTTCATTTGGTGAAACTGTGATGTCTATATGGATTATTACTAACTTTTAGCAGTAGAGCAGGAGGGGAGGGGGATCAAGAAGCTTTTATCTTTTACTTTGCTTTGTTTGTTGAAAAAGTTTGTATATTACTTTTGGAATTTGTAAAAACTCATTTAAAAAAATTCACAAATTGCTGGGTCAGATGTAGTGGGTTCCAGTCCCATGTTTCCTGGTGCTGCATCATGCACCTTAGCTCCCCTGTAAGGCAGGAATCATTCATTCAACCTCATGCAATATTTTAAGAATGAATTACATGAAATGATCTCATAAAGCACTTGGGAAATGCTCCATAGATGAGAATTAAAAAAAAAATCCTTGATTTTCTTTCTCTTTCACTTATAATAGTTTATGTCCTTGATCCTCTGAAAATGTATCCCATAAGTCCCTTTTGCCATTTTATCACCTTGCTCTTTTATGCCACTTTCCTATGTTGACCTCTCTCTTGTCACTTAGGAAAAATTTTCATAAAGTTTCTTCCTATAATACCCAGCATCAAAAATTATGCATGAGATTTTAAAACTCATTTTGGGGTACAAGGTAAACCAATGAATTTTGTTTTGATAATTTATTTTCAATTATTATGGATACATAATAGCTATATGACTTATGGATTACATGTGATATTTTGATACAAGCATACAGTGTGTAACAATCAAATCAGGATGATTGGGGTATTCATCCCCTGAAGCATTGATCATTTCTTTGTGTTAGGAACATTCCAATCCCACTATTTTAGTTATTTTGAAATATATAATAAATTATTGCTAACCATAGTCACCCTATTGTGCAACTGAATACAAGCTCTTACTCCTTATCTAAATGTATTGTTATCTGCATTAACCATGCCCTCTCTATCCTCCCTCCTCACTACCCTTCCCAGCCTCTCACAACTAAGATTCGCCTCTATCTGTGAGCTCACATTTTTTAACTCCCACATATTAGTGAGAATAGTGAACTTTAAAACGTGGTACATATACACAATGGAATATTATTCAGCCGTAAAAAGAATGAAATTCTATCATTTGCAACAACATGTATAGAAATGAAGGTAATTATGTTAAGTGAAATAAGGCCCACTGATGGATTTTGATGTTACAGAGTGCCACAAGTATGTTTATCTAATTTTGGATTTCATGAAATTTTACAGCCAACATTTCAGAAACTACAGTTATGGAGTTTTGGTGTCATATCAAAGAATATCCACAATTACTTGCAATATCCATTAAAATACTTCTTCCCTTTGCAATTACACATCTTACTTCTTTCCTCTTACAATTACACGTCTTCGTGAGGCTAGACTTTCAACCAAAATAACATATCACAGCAGATTGAAGCAGAAAGCAGATATGAGAATACAGCTTTCTATTAAGTGAGACATTAAAGAGATTTATTTGCAAAAATATCAAATTATG